GGATCCAGCCACCCCAACTACCTTGCTGGCCTATACTTGGCTTTTAAAAATTGTAAATCACATTTAACTCTGATATTCTGATATATATAAATAATTGGGAAATATCTGTTGGATTTTATTTTTTAGGGAAAATTTTATGTATTTTACCTTTTTTTTATTTCTGAGACTGACCTTTTTAAAAAAATTATTATTATTATTATTTTTAATTTGACCAGAGATAGAGAGAGAGGGAGAGAGAGAGAGAGGGAGGGGGGAGGAAATGTAAGAAAGCAAGCCAACAGGTCCAGGATTTGAACCATGGTCAGCCGTGTGGAAGTCCAGCACCTTAACCACCTTGCCACCTGCCAGCCCCAAGACTTTCCTTTTTAAATAATTTTTTTGAGAGATTTTTGCTATAGTGCACGTGCACTCGCCAGAAAGACAGACAGAGACAGAGAGATAGAAAGCGAGAAATCACCTCCCAGGGGGGATGGCCACATCGCAATCCCTTCTCCTCCATTCTCCTCTCGGGATCTTGGGCACACATGCACACTCGCCCAGTGTGAGTTTAAGCCACTGGGTCCAGGACGCAAACCGCGGTCGGCTACATGGGAGTTCAGCGACATAGCCATTACTAACTGCTGGTCCCAAATAGGTCCCCCCCCCAATCTCATTGTAGAATATAATTTAGAATCATTAACATAATCTTACTTAAGTTGTATAAGAAATTTTTCCTCAGCTCTTGAACATTGATAACCTACAGTATTGGAAATTGTCATTATCTCAGGATCTAGAATTAGAAGAAATATTATTTATATTTCTCTTTTTTTTAAAGAGAGATTTTTTGCTATAGGGCGTGCATACTTGCTGGCCAGGTGGAGAGACAGAAGGTAAGAAATCACTTCCCCCCACCACCCCCAGGAGAGAGGACTTTGCCATAATTCTTTTTCCTCCATTCTCTTGTTGGCATTTTGGATGCACATGCACACATGCCCAGTGTGAGTTTTAAGCTGTTGGGTCCAGGACTCGAACCACGATCAGCTACGTGGGAGTCCAGTGATGTAACCTTAAGCCATCTGCTGGCATCATATTTTTAATATGATAATATGATAATTAAGTTTTAATAAGGAAAAGCAGTTTGTCATTGGAGTAATTTCTGTCAAGTATTAACAATTATTCACAATAGTTCATCTCGCTTTGTATCCTCTTAACATACTTTTTTAATCCTTTTCTAAACAAGTCAATGGAGAAATTTAAATAAATTACTATGATATTTTGAATATTATTAACTTTGTAGCAATCTTTTCGTTTTAATTGAAGATCCAAAATGACTTTCTCAATACACATTGTTGCTCTGAAGATAGACTTTTTTAAAAGTACTTTTTATGTGCTAGAGAGAGACTGATTCAGAAACAGTACCTATTAAAAAACAGCAAATTCTTTTTTTAGAATGATTTCATTCTATTTGTCATTATTACTATTTTAAATTTTTTTACTGGGATCAAACAGATGGTGCAATTGTTATATTGCTTAACTCCCACATAGTCAACGATTCTGAAGATAGACTTTTTTAAAAGTACTTTTTATGTGCTAGAGAGAGACTGATTCAGAAACAGTACCTATTAAAAAACAGCAAATTCTTTTTTTAGAATGATTTCATTCTATTTGTCATTATTACTATTTTAAATTTTTTTACTGGGATCAAACAGATGGTGCAATTGTTATATTGCTTAACTCCCACATAGTCAACGATGTTTCGAATCCTGGACCTAGCAACTTGAAACTCACACTGGGCACATATGCGTGCATGCCCACCCAAGATCCCAAGAGGAGAACAGAGGAGAAGAGATTATGACGTGGCCATCGCCCCGGGAGGCGATTTCTAGCTTTCTGTCTTTCCGTCTCTCTCTGGTGAGCACATGTGCCCTATAGCAAAAATCTCTCTCTAAAAAAACAAAAACAAAAACAAAAGC